TTTTTTCTATATATTTTTAGTTGTCCAATTAATTTCTTTATACTTTTAGTAGAGACGGGGTCTCGCTCTTGCTCAGGCTTGTTTCGAACTCCTGAGCTCAAACAATCCGCCCGCCTCGGCCTCCCAAAAAGCTAGGATTACAGGCATGAGCCACCGCGCCCGGCCCAGAATATGTAATCTTTTATGCAGGTCTGTGGGGTAGGCCACAGAGAAATCACTTTATTTGACATTTTTTAAGGATGAAAAACAGTATAAAAAATGACATAATCACTGTAAGAATTTGTGAACTATTTTGCTGAGACTTACCAAAGATGAAAAAAACGCAAGTACAAAAGACATTAAATGTCAGGAAGAACTGGTTCAAAACATTTATGGAGTAGAAATGTGTGTGCATAATATGTGGGAGAATCAGCCTTAACTGATTGTTGTGCTACAGCAGTGTTTCTTAAAAACTCGAAGGAGGTTAATATATAGAAGAGTCAGTTGTTTTTTATTTGAACAGATTTTAAATAGTTTAACATCTTCCATCGAAATGTTTGTTTTCCTAACCCCTTATTTTCCTATAATCTGTTTTTTCCAGTCACAGTTTTACAAGCCACATTACTTTTTTAGAACTTAACTATGAAATGTTGGCAAGAAATTACAGTACTATATTATGAAATTTGTCAGTGTACTAAAGTACTCTAAACGTCCGTCCAGCTGAATTATACTGATGGTGTGCATTCAAAGAGTAGAGGGTCTTTGTTTAGTCTTGCTTCCTGTTCTACCCCTCCCACTTCAGTAGAAATATCTTACACTTTATCAACATTAAATTGAGGCATAGCTGAGATGGTTATTGGTGTCTCAGACTGCAGATTTGTTGCTAAGTCCCTTTTTTGCCTTATCAATTAGGAATTGTGTTTGTCTACTAGAAAGAGAGACAAGTAACCATTGATTAAACAAGATAATAGTTCATTTCTTTGTCTTGTAAAAAAAAAAAAATCAGAGGTAGACAGTATAGGGCCTATATGGCAACTCCACAGAGTTGTCAAGGACCCAGGCCTCTTCTCTCTTTTTCCTTTGCTATCCTTAGTATGTGGCTTCAATTCTCAAGATCATCTAATGATTGCTGGATCTCCAGCCGTCACATCCATGTTCTAGGCAGAAGGAAGGAGGAAGAAAGGCACAAACAAAAGGGGGCACTCCTCTCATCTTTTAAGAAACTTCTCTAGAATTCATTACATAGTACTTCCTCTGATCTCATTTACTTAGTCATTTGGCTATACTTAGCTGCAAGTAAGGTTCAGAAATGGCTTTTAGCTGAGCATATAGACTAGATCAGTGTGGTGGGGTAAGAATCTATATTGGATGGGAATTTGTAATCTTTGCCATATTCATTCTTTATCTTCTCTACTGTATCTGTTGCTGACTGCCCAGTTGTTGCTGTTAAGCCCTCCATTCGATAGATATGAATTAACTGCTATGTACTAGGTCCTGCTAAGAACTGGAAATGCAAACACAACTGAGACATACTGCCTGCCATAGAGAAGTTATAGTTTAATAATAGGACTAATACACCTGCACATGTTTCTGAGAACAGAGGGTATTAAGTACTGTGGACTGTTGTGACTAGCTACCACTTATGACTCTGCCTTTCCCATTAATTTATCATATAAGAGGGAGAAGGGGAGCTGACCTCTTTGGAAGAGCAGTATTAATGGAAAGAAATCAAGGCCGGGTG